AGGAAAACAAAATACCTTATTATTAGCAACTGAATACTCAAGCCAAGTGAATTGGCCAAACCACTTTTTATTAAATCGACAAAAGTCTCGCCCTTCTAAGTGACTTGGATAATCTTCTAACTCGGGTTGACATGGTCCAAAAAGAATATATTCTATTCGCACATTATCTTGTTCATTCATCGGATATTTGCATATTAAATGACGTAATCCTGGATCACGCTCAAAATAATTGATATTAAAATCATGATCATCATCGACTCTTTGAGATTCAACTCTTTCAACTGGAGGCTCGACGATAGGAGACTCAGGAAGATTTTGCTCATCACATATTGGAGTAGATAAAGAAGTGCTAGAATGCAATGTACTAGATGATGACCCATAAATCTTTTTCTTAAAAAAAGACAACAAATTCTTTGTTATCTTGGGATTCTGATTGTGATCCGACATAATAAAAGATAGCCTATGAATAATATGTAGAAAAACAAATTCTCATAATGGCATCTCAATAATACCAAACCAAAAATTATAATTCATCCATAATTAAACCCTAGAATACTCTACTCAATTTTAACAAAATCTCAAATCAAAACCTTATAATAATTCATCCCTAATCAAAGCCCTAATTAATTTAAACAAAATCTCAAAATTATAATTTGACCCAAAAAAGAAGAAGAGAGAAACTTGCTGCTGTCTAGTAGCAAAGAGAGAGAGAGAGAGAGAGAGAGAGAGAGAGAAACAAGAAGTCTGAGGCCATCTCCAACCCACCTTGGCAAAACCCAAAATTTGGATTTTTTAGCCCGAAAACCTCTCCAACCTAGGGATGGCAACGGGTCGGGTAGGGGCCGGGTATGACAATACCATCCCCGTCCCCGCTCTTCATCCCCACCCCCGTACCCGAACCCATCCCCGTTTAATAGGTTTCGGGGAATCCCCATCCCCGTCCCCGTTGGGGGACTATCCCCCATACTCGCCCCGAATCCCCGATTTTTTTTGCATAAAAAAATATTTATCATACATTTTAACATTAAGTTTCATATTAAATTTTCATTCAACACATCCAAATTAACTATAAAGTTCAACTCAACTATTCAAAATCACATAAATATGAAATTCCATAGTAAAATAGGAAGAATTAGGAGAGGGAGGTTAACTTAGGGTTAAACATAAATATTATAATTATATATTTATTTATTTAAATATAAACATATATATTTTCGGGTCGGGTTCGGGGATGGGGACGCCAATACCATCCCCTCCCCATACCCGTCGGAGATTTTTCAAATTTGGGGATCCTCGTACCTGATACCCGTTTGGCCTCGAAATCTCCCCCTGTTAGGGTTCCATAGTAAAAGAGGAAGAATTAGGAGAGGGAGGTTAACTTAGGGTTAAACATAAATATTATAATTATATATTTATTTATTTAAATATAAACATATATATTTTCGGGTCGGGTTCGGGGATGGGGACGCCAATACCATCCCCTCCCCATACCCGTCGGAGATTTTTCAAATTTGGGGATCCTCGTACCTGATACCCGTTTGGCCTCGAAATCTCCCCCTGTTAGGGTCGGGACCCGCCCCCGTGAGGATTTTTGCCATCCCTACTCCAACCCTTGTATAGGAGCATGCTAAAATTTCCACAAATTGGTTTTTGGGGCCAAATAGCAGTCTGTGTTTCAATCGGACTGATAATTTAGTGGAGCCAACGCCAATATATGATGCAGCCCGTGTGAAGCACCTGCAATGTTTGCACTAAAACTGAACAGATAGAGATGAGTGCAACTTACAAGTGATGTGGACGATCGAGAGATTGATCGAGCGTTGGATGCAGATCCTTCCTGTCCTTGGATGCTGATCCTGAATAGAAGAAAGCCGAGACTCGTGAGGCTTATGGAACCGGTGTGGAACCAGCCTAAGACCCTCCGATGCCAAAGTAAGTTTGTTTTCTAAGAGCTCTTGCTGTTGACAATATATTAGTATAAAAGTCAAGCTGAAAAGTCTCACCCTTGTATTGTAATGAAGGGGCCTCTTTATAGAGGGCATTTTGTATGCTCTTAGTACTTAATTTCGATGTGGGACTCGTGGGAGGGCCCTGTGAAGTTAACACGAGTTTTTAGATATTTCGGGCGGGTACTTCAAGGTTGATTATGCAGAATCGGTAAGGGGTACCGATTGTAGACTCCGTCGGGCCGGTGGCGACCGTTTGATGCTTTGAGACAATGTCATAGGTAGCTGATGCCGATTGTGCGGAGCCTTGGGCACTTGGGGAGTTTCTCTGATCCACGTGTCATTAGATTAGTGGAGGGTCAAATATGGTACAAACATGCAGCAAGGGGCTCGCGTCGCTAGGACACATGGCGTGTTGGGATGAAGGGTTATAGGAATCCAACGGGTTCCTTTAAACTACTGTTTCTTTTTCCTTTCCAATTTAATTTCAAAGGTTATATAATGTATAATGACTAAGATTTAATATAAGAAAATCCAACTATAAAAAAAACTTCAGAAAGTTATATTATGTTTTGGATTTTTTTAGATTAAAATATTCAGAAAATTAATTCACAAAAGTTGAAACAAAAATAATGTCAAGAAAAATTAACGAGAAAAAAAAAATAGGGATTAATCTTTTTAAAACAATTTAATAAAGTTGCGGACTCAAATTATGAGTCTACATGGTTAGAGGAAAAAAAATTTTGAGTCCGATCAATACATGAATAGTTGTTTTTTGGGTTGAAAATGGCCTAATAGCCAAAGAGAAGGAGAGAAAAGATACCACGTGGATGGGCAATATATGGGTAGGTGTTGTAAAGTAGAATGGGTGAAGCCCACATAGTCAAAAGGTGATTAGTAATCATTAGGTAGAAACATCATTGTGTCTCTTTTTTCACTCACAGGTGAATTACCATGCCTATAAATAGGCTTGTTCGATCATTTGTAAAACACACCAACTAAGAGAAGAAGAAAGTAAGGAGAGTGATAAATCTAGAGTGATGCTAAACGAACCCTAAAATTAACTGAGTACACCCTATGATCTAAGTACACCCTAATTTTTAAATCAAAATGTAAAATTAACTAAGTACACCCTATTTAAGTACACAAAATACCCTTGGTACACCCTAATACACTATATCACATCTCATTTGCCACGCCATATTTTAAATTCTTCTGAAGCTTTTGTTCTTCACATTAAAAGGGTCAATTTGAACAAATCTGGGTTTATTTTGTTGTGCAAATTCCCCCTTTTTTTTTCTTTTTTTTTTAAAAATCATCTCAATGGAGTTTTGATTTAGTCTTCAAATGACGAATTTGTTCAAACTGGTTCTACAACTAGCCATATGGGTCTAATAGCTACTGCAAACTTGATTCAAATGAAAACTAATTCCCAAATACCTTCTTATATTTGAACTTTAGATCCAACTAATATCTTCAATGATTGTTATGAATAGTTGGATGGTCTTCCACTTTCAGATTTGGTCTCTTAATAATTTCCTTAACCTTCATCTCTAATGGAGGAGTTGTTGGGCAGCAATGGAGGGCTATTGGTCGGCAAAGGAAGGGGCAAAAGAACGAACATTCAATGATACCTCTTTGCGCCACCGCCAATGCTCATTGAGTTGTTCGCCGTTAGCATCAAGTAATACGAATACATTTGATTAGGGTTAGATATGGTGAGTAGGGTGTACTTATTAAAATTATATTTGTTTCACAATTCATTATATTCTTTTTGGTCATTTTATATTAGGGTAAATTAGTCGTTTTATAAATAGTTTAGTAGTGGGGTGTACTCAGTTAATTTTAGGGTTCGTTTAGCAGCACTCTAAATCTAAGTGTTAGTGAGTGAGTTTCTATCTGAGAGGAAATTCAGTCAGTGTAAACACCACAAGATCAGATATAATTCCACTCCCAATATTCCGTGGTATTTCCCATACTCCGATTATATTATTTTATAACACGTTATCAGAACGATAGTCTCTCCACTGTTAAATTCTCTCAGCTCAACACTATGTGGTTATTTCTCTTTCTCCTCTCTGTCATATGCCTCCTCTCACTCTACTACTACGACGACATGCAAACTTTCTTTTTTGTGTTCTCACAATTTTTATGTTGTTTCATCCATGTTTGTTTAATTTATTTCTTTGTAATGTAATTTGGAATGACGCGGTTTTATACCCCATTCTGTTGTTTTATGGTGATGTAATTTTCATTACCCATCGCCTTGTAACACAAATTATCATAATAAAATGATGGTGTGATCTTAAAATCCATCTATTATATATTGAATAGTGGTGTAGTTATATTGCCCACAAAATATAATATATTATGTACTTCCTATATTTTTAGTGGTGGTTTTTATCCCCACATTTACTATGGACGGTTTTCACCTCCTATAATTTTAGTGGTGGTCTTATCCCCACATTTATTTTATTTACTGTATGGAGTAGGTTCATTACCCATACAGCAATATTTATTTAAAAGTGTGGCGCGGGTTTATCGTCCACACAATTGCCTTTATTTATTTAAAAGTATGGAGCAGAATTAGTGCCCATACCAGCACGTTTACTTTATCGCACATTTACTTTTATTTAAAGTATGGTGCAGAATTAACGTCTATACAGCAAGCAATTTACTTTATGAATTTACTTTATCGCACATTTACTTTTATTTAAAGTATGGTGCGGAATTAACGTCCATAAAGCAAGTAATTTACTTTATCACACATTTACTTTTATTTAAAGTATGGTGCGGGTTTATCGTCCATACCAGCAAATTTATTATTAGCACTTTATTTTTGTCATCAATTAATATACATAAATAATTAGGGCCTAAAATCCCTCAAACAATTATAGGGACTGAAGTTCCTACTAATAAATGGCTTAATGTCCCAGATCCTGAGCCAACTACCTATCATGGGTCCTGGATGCCAAGATCCATCTGCGAGCCAATGGCCTTGGAAAAACGTTAGTAGATGGAAGCGACGCATCACCTGAAGAGAATGCGAAGGCCATGATTTTTCTTCGCCGCCACATCAATGAAGCACTGAAAAATGAATATGTTGTGGTTGATGAACCGTTGGTTCTGTGGAAAATTCTAGGTGAAATATACAATCACCAAAAGACAGTGACTCTTCCAAGAGCCAAATACGAATGGACACACCTGAGATTTCAAGATTTCAAGACAGTGCCCGAGTACAACTCTGCTATGCATAGAATCACCTCCTTGATGAAGTTATGTGGTGAAAATATCTCTGAGGAGGACATGCTCGAAAAAACTCTGAGCACATTTCATGCCTCAAATGTTCTCCTACAACAGCAGTATAGGTATAGTGGTTTCACAAAGTACTCGGAACATGTATCTTGCCTATTGTTAGCTGAGCAGAATAATGAGCTCCTATTGAAGAATCACCAATCTCGCCCAACGGGCTCAACACCACTTCCTGAAATAAATGCTGCATCTCAGGAAGTGAATGCCACTTCATCTCGTGGCAGTATCCACAAACGTGGACGAGGAGGCAAGCAAGGGAGTAGGAGAGATCATGGTGCCCGTCCATATGGCTTGAGTCCAAGAAGCCATCCATCCACGAATGGCAAAAATACATCCAGAAATAAGGGGAAGGCACAGACAAGCCATGTGCCTAGAAATGTTGAAAGCATTTGTCACAGATGTGGTGCAAAGGGACATTGGGCGAGTACATGTCGTACGCCGAAGCATTTGGCGGATCTCTATCAAGCTTCACTTAAGAACAAGAAAATGGAGACAAATTACATTGATCATGCTATACCAGATCCGCCAGCCACAGATGATCCTCGGAAACATCACGTCAGTTAGACAAGATGCATCTGGATGTTTCCGATTTTGTCAATGAAAGAGGGAATGAAGTTTATGGGTCCGAATTAGATTAATTCCCTCAATGTACCATTTGCATTTGCATTATCTGAAGCACTGTTTCCCTTAATGTACTATTTGCATTATCACTGTTTTCCTTAATGTACTATTTGCATTATCACTGTTTTCCTTAATGTACTGTTTGCATTATCAATGTTTTCCTTAATGTACTATTTGTATTATCTGAAGCACTGTTCTTGATTTTCATTTCAGTCCAATAAAAGTGGCAATGTTTTTCTTTACATTGTATAATTGCTTATTGATTCAACTTATTTTATTTATTTGAAGGCATGGATATAAATTATGGATGCCCCCAAAACGAGAGCTCTAGCAAAGATATTTGTCTCGCAGACAGTGCGACCACTCAATACGATCTTTCGAGATCGAAAGTATTTCTCAAACTTGATGTTCACTAAAGCAAAGGTAACAACTAGGGATGGCAAAAATCCCCGCGGGGGCGGGTCCCCGACCTTAACGGGGGGAAATTTTCGGGGCCAAATCGGGTACGGGTACGGGGGAGACCCGAAAAAAAAATCCCCGATGGGTTCGGGGCGGGTATGGTAATTGTGTCCCCGTCCCCGAACCCGGACCAAAATATTATAATTTCTAATTTTAATTAATATATATCTTAAAAGCCTTAAAACATTTTTGTGATGAAGGCATGGGGTTTCGAACCCATAACCTCCTTTAGAACTCAATAGCTTACCTTACCACTACTCCACCAATTGTCCTTGTGTTATAGAGAAATAATTAATTAATTTAATGGTTACAATTCCAATTCTAGCTAACAAACATGCATATTAAAATCAAAATTCATATGCAAATATGTATAATAATCAATAAATTCAAACAATCCAAATATAATATGAAAAATAAAACACAATAACAAATACTGATTTTAAAAAACAAAATTCGTATGCAAACATGTATAATCAACAAATTCAAACAATTTAAAGATAACAAAAAAAATCAAACGCCACAACAAATATTGATTAAAAAAAATTATGCAAACATCTATAATCAATAAATCCAAAGATAACGAAATAATCAAACATCATAACTAACATTGATTTTTAAAAATAAAATTCATATGCAAACATGTATAATCAACAAATTCAAAGATAGAGAAAATAATCAAACACCAAACATCTTTATATTACACAACTACTTCATATGCTATCGCACAACTAGATGATTGATGTAGATTGGTAATCAAACACCAAGTCATACATAGATTAGAACTCTTCATCAATTAGATGACTAATGTAGATTGGTAATCACATACCACTCTATGAGTATATGATGGATGTAGACAAGAAACACAAATTACTCTCATAATCAAGGTATCCATATCCATATCCATGTATGGAGAGAAGAAGAAGAACCATATCCATGTATAATTTTGGTGTTAAGATGATGAGAAAGAAAAAGAAGAAAAATAATGAGACTTTAACAAGATTCACAAAAAATATATGTCATTAATTCAAAAAATTGGAAAAAGTATATTTATATTTTTTATAAAAAATTGGAGATGGGTTGTGTGTTTTGAACCCATGTCCTGTCACTTTCAATCTCACATGCTTACCATCAATGCACAAACAAACGTTGTGTTTTAATGAAATATTTAAATTATTTAATACTTGCATTCCAGTTACAATAAAAAACACTAACCCAATCCTAAATAAAAAAACACACCACGTAAATAAATAAATAAAAAACTAACACACCATGTAATACTTAACAAAAAAAAAAACTAAAAAACTAAACAAAAAAGAAAACAAATAAAAAGAAATTAACTAATTTAAAAACACACAAATATTTATTACTACCCTTGGCTCTTGCTTACTACCCGTAATTTACCAGGAAATAAATATTTATTTTGTTTTTTTTCTTTTCATTTTAACAACACAAAATCCCTTGTAAAAAACAAAAATAACACATCTCTTTTTAAACAAAATATTAATCCTATAGCCCAACAATATTAAGCCTGTAGCCCAAACCCAATAATAACCCTACATTTATTTTTCTGATGAGCATAAACCCTACTTTCTTTGCTCAGCCGCCGCACTCCCATCTTTTCCTTCATCTTTTTTTTTTCTTCCTTTTTTCTTCTTCTTCTCCGCACTCCCATAAACCCTATTTTTCGGATCATGAACTAAATCAACTCCAATTGAAACTCTGCGCCTTTCCCCACCCGAAATGCCATTGTTTGATTTTCAACCAATTCTTGAAGCTGCAACATGCTCCAGCCCAAAGCTCCTTCATCAGCTGTCTCACTTTAGATGCAGTGCAGCCTCTTTTTTCCCACCAGGCTCGACGCCATTGCCAGGCAGACCAAGACCTTACAAGTCCCTGAAGAGCTATTCATGGTGTTGCAGGAAATGCAGAGGAGCTTGGTCTACTTCCACAGCAAGGAGCAGAAGCGGGAGGCCTTGAAATTGCTCGATCTTGAAAACCTCCACAACCTGTTCGACGATTTCAATCAGAGAGCTTCAACTTGCGTCGCTTCTCCCAATTCTTCTTCTTCTGCGAAGAAAACGACGACCATGATATCGATTTTGTTCTTAATTTGTTTCTTCTTTAGTGTTTCAGGGGTATTCGATTTTTTTTTTGGGTTCTGATTCAAGGGGCTTCGTTTGTTTCTTGGAGTTCTTGTTTATATTTTTTCCTTAAAAAATCGGGGATTCGGGGCGGGTATGGGGGATGGTCCCCCGACGGGGACGGGGCGGGGATTCCCCGAACCTTATTAAACGAGGATGGGGGCGGGGACGGGGGAGGGTTTGGGAATCGGGGTAGGGGATGGTATTGGCAAACCCGGACCATACCCGCCCCGTTGCCATCCCTAGTAACAACCATATCAGGTCCTGCAGATCTGATTGAAGGCTCAGGAACAGCCCAAGTTATGTTACCAAATGGAGCAATACTGTCCATTCAAGATGCCTTGTATTCATCTAACTCAAGAAGGAATCTGTTGAGTTTCAAAGATATACGTTTGAATGGCTACCATATTGAAATAAAGAATGAGGAAAACATGGAATATCTTTGCATTACCTCCAGTGATACCCAGAAGCGTATACTGGAGAAGCTTTGTGCGCTCTCATCAAGGTTGTACTATACAACCATACGGACAATTGAGGCACATAGTGTCATGGACCAGAAGTCCATTGACTCAAATACTTTTAAGCTTTGGCATGACCGGTTGGGTCATCCTGGATCCACCATGATGCGTAGGATCATCATCAACTCTAAAGGACATCCCTTATTGACAAAACACATTATGGTATTAAGTGATAGCTTTTGCCAAGCTTGTTCACAAGGGAAGTTGGTGATCAGACCATCACAATCAAAGGTTGATGTTGAGTCCCCATCATTTTTGCAGAGAATCCAAGGGGACATTTGTGGACCTATTCATCCTCCCTGTGGACCATTTCGGTACTTTATGGTCTTGGTTGATGCATCTACTCGATGATCACATGTTTGCCTTTTGTCTACTTGGAATATGGCATTTGCTAGGCTCTTGGCTCAGATAATTAAATTGCGAGCCCAATTCCCAGATTATCCCATTAAGTCAATCAGACTCGATAATGCTGGTGAATTTACATCTCAGATTTTTGATGATTACTGCATGTCGCTAGTCATTGACATTGAACATCCTGTTCCCCATGTTCATACTCAAAATGGCTTGGCAGAAGCTTTAATTAAACGTCTTCAATTAATAGCACGCACATTGCTAATAAAAACAAAGTTGCCAGTCTCTGCTTGGGGATATGCCATTTTACATGCAGCATCATTGGTGCGGTTAAGGCCCGTTGCCAACAATCAATATTCTCCAATACAACTTGTGTTGGGTAATCAACCAAATATTTCACACTTAAGAGTTTTTCGTTGTGCGGTATATGTACCTATTGCACCACCGCAACGTACTAAGATGGGCCCTCAACGCAGATTGGGAATTTATGTTGGTTTTGATTCACCATCTATCATCAGATATCTAGAGCCCCTGACGGGTGATATCTTTACCGCACGGTTTGCGGATTGTCATTTTGATGAGACAATTTTCCCATTATTAGGTGGAGAAAAATCTGTTCCTAAAGAACAACAAGGCAAACTCGTTCCTGAAGAACGACATGAATTATCGCGGGGTGTACTCACTTTGTTTCATCTCGATCCTCGTACCGCTTAATGCGAAAACGAAGTGAGAAGGATCGTTCACCTCCAAAGTATTGCAAATCACATGCCAAATGCATTCAATGATGCAACAAAGGTGACGAAATCGCATATCCCGGCTGCAAATGCACCTGCAAGGATTGATGTTCATAATGGACAAAGCAATGTACCAGCAAGTGGCTCATCTGTTGCACGCCTAAAGCGTGGCAGACCACTAGGCTCAAAGAACTCAGTTCCTCGAAAAAGGAAGTTGATGGCCAAAATGATTCCAAATGAAATAAATGGAGAGCCCACAATTCATGATTCAAATGCCCCCCAAGAGGGACAGGCATTTCCTGAAAAGGAAAATGTCCTTGGTGAGACAAGTAGCCCTGAAGTGGCAGCTATACCTGAAAGTCAAGAAATCTCCATAAATTATACATCCACCAATGAATTTTGGAATAGAAACGAGATGATTATGGATGATATATTTGCATTCTCAGTGGCTACTAAGATTATAAAAGATGATGATATTGAGCCGTGCTCTATTGATGAATGCACACAGAGGCAAGATTAGCCTAAGTGGAAAGATGCAATCCAGGCAGAATTAGATTCTTTGGAAAAAAGGAGTGTTTTTGGACCTATTGTTCCAACTCCACCCAATGTGAACCCAGTAGGTTACAAGTGAGTATTTACAAGAAAACGCAATGAGAAAAATGAGATCGCGAGGTATAAAGCGCGACTAGTTGCGCAAGGTTTTTCACAAAGGCCTGGAATTGATTATGTGGAAATATACTCTCCAGTAATGGACGCAATTACTTTCTGTTACTTGATAAGGTTGGCGGTTTCAGAAAAACTTGAAATAAGACTTATGTATGTCATTACCGCATATCTGTATGGAGAGTTGGATACAGACATATACATAAAAGTCCCAGAAAGACTTAAGCTGCCTGAAGCAGCCAGGAATAAACAACGGGCCATGTTCTCAATCAAATTGAAAAGATCATTATATGGGCTAAAACAATCTGGACGAATGTGGTATAATTGTCTCAGCAAGTATTTACTAAAGGAAGGATACACAAATGATCCTATTTGCCCATGTGTGTTTATCAAGAAATCAGAGTCTGGATTTGCGATAGTGGCAGTATATGTCGATGACATGAATCTAATTGGAACTCCTGAAGAGCTCCAAAAGACTGCTGATTATCTCAAACGCGAGTTTGAAATGAAAGACCTTGGAAAGACAAAATATTGTCTTGGCTTACAGATTGAACACAGTGCTAATGGAATTTTAGTACATCAATCAAATTATACTGAAAAGGTATTAAAGCGTTTTGGCATGGATAAAGCCCATCCACTTAGCACTCCAATAGTCATTCGGTCGCTTAACACTAAGAAAGATCCATATCGTCCAAAAGGGGATGATGAAATGATCCTTGGTCCAGAAGTACTATATTTTAGTGCAATAGGTGCTTTAATGTACTTAGCACAATGTACCAAACCTGACATAGCATTTTCAGTAAATTTGTTAGCAAGATACAGCTCGGCTCCAACAAGCCGACATTGGACCGACATCAAACATATTTTACGATATCTTCGTGGGACAACAGACATGGGCTCATTCTATTCCAGTGAATCAACCAATGCCCCTAGTATGGTTGGATATGCCGATGCAGGATATCTCTCTGATCCACATCAAGGGCGCTCACAAACTGGATATGTATTCACATGTGGAGCAACTGCAATCTCATGGCGCTCAACAAAACAAACGTTGGTAGCCACATCTTCCAACCACTCAGAAATACTTGCTCTCCATGATGCCAGTCGTAAATGCGTTTGATTAAGGTCAATGATTCATCACATCCGAAGCACCTGTGCCTTGCCCTCAACAACGGACACTCTAACCATCTTGAATGAGGACAATGCTGCTTGTATTGCTCAAATCACAGGAGGGTACATCAAGGGTGACCGGACCAAGCACATCACCAAAGGTTTTCTACACACATGAGCTTCAGAAGAATCAAGAAATCAAAGTCAGACAAATCCGTTCAAGCAATAACTTGGCAGATCTCTTCACCAAGTCTTTGCCCAAGTGCACATTCCAGAAGCTAGTGCATGGCATCTGATTACGACAATTCTGCAAGCAATCAAATAGGAGCATGCAAAATCAGGGAGAGCATTCAAGAGTCCTCTAACACAGGACATAAGCGCGTTGTACTCTTTTTCCTTCGACTAGGTTTTTTCCCACTGGGTTTTCCATAGCAAGGTTTTAACGAGGCAACATGTGCGCATTTTCTTATGTCCCAAATAAAGTTGTACTCTTTTTCCTTCACTTAGGTTTTTTCTCACTGGGTTTTTCCAAGTAAGGTTTTAATGAGGCAACCAATTAAGGGACATGTGATCTCCAAGGGGGAGTGTTATAAAGTAGAATGGGTGAAGCCTACATAGTCAAAAGGTGATTAGTAATCATTAGGTAGAAACATCATTGTGTCTCTTTTTTCACTCACAGGTGAATTACCATACCTATAAATAGGCTTGTTCGATCATTTGTAAAATACACCAACTAAGAGAAGAAGAAAGTAAGGAGAGTGATAAATCTAAGTGTTAGTGAGTGAGTTTCTATCTGAGAGGAAATTCAGTCAATGTAAACACCACAAGATCAGATATAATTCCACTCCCAATATTCCGTGGTATTTCCCATACTCCGATTATATTATTTTATAACAGTAGGTTTGTTTTTAATTTTTAAAATTTTTGGGCTGGGCCTAATAACACATGTAGGTATTTATTTTTGAAAATTTTTGAGCTGGGCAAGCACCCAGCCTGCCCTGTGCACAGCCCCGCCACTCGCAGCTCAAAGCATACAAGCAGTGCTGCTAGGGTTTCTCAGTTAGGCTACCATGGCGATAGATAGCGGAACCAAGGAGCAGTCGCACAAGGAACATCGGTCCAGGCAGTCGGGGGCCAAGGCCGACAAGAAGAAGCGTGACACTTCCCAAAATGGGAAGAAGCAAAACCCTAAAGCATTTGCTTTTAGCTCAACTGTGAAAGCCAAGCGTCTTCAATCTCGCTCCGTCGAGAAAGAGCAGCGCAGGCTTCATGTCCCAACCATTGATCGTTCCTATGGCGAACAACCTCCATATGTTGTTCTGGTGCATGGACCTCCCAAGGTATATATAGTATATCTAATCAGTGCAATAGCCTACCTGCATCTCACTCAAACTGCTGTTAATTTGTTTGAACTAATATATTTTTTGTTCAATTCCTTATTGTTGATTTCTAGGTTGGCAAGTCTTTGTTAATTAAGTCGCTTGTAAAGCATTATACCAAGCATAATTTACCGGAGGTTCGAGGCCCGATTACCATTGTTTCAGGTGCCAGGCTTCATGTTTTTTTCTTCTGATATTGCAATAATTTGATTTAACTTAATATCAGATTGAGTACTGTTCATTAAATGCTTGATTGATTGCTTGTGTTAGGGAAGCAAAGGCGGGTACAGTTTGTGGAGTGCCCAAATGATATCAATGGTATGATTGATGCTGCAAAGTTTGCTGATTTAGCATTACTTCTCATAGACGGAAGCTACGGTTTTGAAATGGTGAGACTTGAGACAATTAATTTTGTTATTTTTTCTTCTACTGTTTCCATTTGGATGGCTTAAACTTCAATGGAAATCCTGACGCTAACAAAATATTGTACCCTCTTGTTTGTTAAAAATGTCTATGAATTTAACTCCTGTCATAAATATCAAACAAACACACATGCTCGTGTGCAGGCACAACACCCACACTCATAGATTTCATTATTATGTATCGGGAGATGACTCTGCTTGAATATTTATTTGGTGGATGTTCTGGATTTCTTGATACATTCTTTATTGGTCTGATCCCATTTTTCATCAATATGATGTCAAGACATTTATATTATAATATTGTATTGCCTTAATTTCCTTTTACAGGAGACATTTGAATTCCTGAATATTTTGCAAGTTCATGGGTTCCCAAAGGTTATGGGAGTTCTCACTCACCTTGATAAGTTTAAAGATGTAAAGAAATTGAAGAAAACAAAGCAACACCTCAAACATCGTTTCTGGACTGAAATATACGATGGAGCTAAATTGTTTTATTTATCTGGTCTCATTCATGGAAAGTAAGTAGCCACTTTCTGCACTGGATGATGCAGTCACTTGTGAAGGTTGACAACTATTATGAGTTGAATTTTTATTTTATTAATTATATTCCCCCTGGTTTAATGAACAGGTATGTCAAACGTGAAATTCACAATCTGGCACGTTTCATATCTGTTATGAAGTTCCATCCTTTATCTTGGCGAACTGCTCATCCTTATGTTTTAGTAGATCGTTTTGAAGATGTGACTCCTCCTGAAAAAGTGCGTTTGAATAATAAATGTGATAGAAATGTCACACTGTATGGTTATTTGCGGGGCTGTAACATGAAAAAAGGAACAAAGGTACGTGTTTGACTTATAAAGTTCTTGTCTTATTGCCTTTAGAAATCTATGTATTACGAATGAATTTAATTGGAAGAAAAGACCATAACTCAGGTCTATGTACGGAGAGTTCCCTTTAATGCTCCCCATGAATTCCAAATGCAGGGATGAAGCCAGAAAATTCTTTTAGTGGGCAACTCCAAACAATAAAATTAGATTAAAAAAACGTTCGACAAAAGAGTTAAAAACTTAAGGGTATTGATTCATAGTAATTTTCATGCAGTACACGTACAGTTGTCCCCAATATATATGTTTTCTTGTTATCAAAGCATCCTAAGAAAATTTTTAGTTGATTATATTTCGGAGACCATATAAATAAATAAACAAGTTTGAATAAAAAAATGTGAAATTGTGACATCAATAACGGGTTAATTATATATAATTGTAATAGCAAATTAAAGATGTAAAGAACAATCCATGAAGGATGAAAAAAGGAAACCATTTTAGAGTGTGAGCATCCAACCTAGAACCAATTGGCAATGGGTCTAGAGGTCCAAAATAATTTAAACTATTAAGGCAATGCTTACATTTCCAGTGGGATAATACTCTCAGCATGTGGAAAGAGAGGAAAGCTTTGACATCCTTCTAACAAATTAGGCTTTGTCGTGACTTTTAGAAGCTGATCTTTAAGTGAAAAGCTCCTTCAAATTTAGCAGTTAAGATGACTCACATTTTCGGGTTGGTAACTTGGTGCCGCTTCTGTAATAGTCCCCTCTCCACTAAAATAAAGAAGAAAGAATACATTGGATTATATGAGTATTTGTATAATTCGGGGTTGATTGCTGGGGAAGGCAGCAAACTCTGAAAATATGATTCATAGATGCATTATCGTGCTGTTTATTTTTTAATGATATATTGTTGTCTGATGTACATTGTGTATCAGATTCATATTGCAGGTGTTGGGGATTACAGTTTAGCTGGTATGACAGGCTTAGCTGATCCTTGCCCTTTACCCTCAGCTGCCAAAAAGAAGGGACTGCGCGATAAGGAAAAACTGTTTTATGCACCCATGTCTGGACTTGGGGATCTCCTGTATGATAAAGATGCTGTCTACATAAACATAAATGACCACTTTGTCCAGTTTTCCAACGCTGATGAAAAGGGCGAAGCAACAAATGAAGGTCCAATTTTTTATTATTTATTTTTAATTTTATAATTTTAAAAATTTGTTTTCTTATTCATATTTGTATGTGTGGGTGAGCATTTGAAATGATACATTCATTTAGTTTGATTCTGTGTTGTTTATCTGTTACAAAAATTTATTTTTTTGAAGCAGATCAATCTCTTAGACATCTTTGAGTTTTCCTTACATAGGAAAAGTTTCTATTTCTCTTTTTGCAACTGCCACCAAATTCATCACTCGATACTCATGTTCCCGTGTAACAGGAAAGCACCAAGATGTGGGTGTGGCTTTGGTAAAATCTCTTCAGAACACAAAATATTCGGTTGATGAAAAGTTAGAGGAGAGCTTCATTAATCTATTTAGTCGGAAGCCTAATTTATTGTCAAATGCTCAAAGTGATGGAAAAGATACCTATGAATCTAGAGAAGAGATCCGTATGATAGAGCCCTTAGAGGAATATCAGTCTGGGGAAGCAATCAAAGGTGATGGTTCTGCTGAAGAAAGCAATGCGGAGGATTCTGACAGTTCAGAATCAGAATCTTCAGATAAGAATGAAGTAGGTCATAAAGATGCATCGGATCAAGATGCTAATCTTAAAGATCACTTGAAGGAACATGTGGAGTTTCATGGAGGAAGGTCAAGGAGAAAAGTTATCTTTGGAAATGACCTTGATCATAACGATATGGAGGTGAACAGAGCTAAACTCATTATCTCTGTTGAATAGAACCATGATATGGAGAAAGAAAAAAAATTTGTTTGTGTTTGTGTGTGTGTGATGTTACAGGTAGATACTTGGAAGTTCACTTTTGGAGGCTTATGCACATTAAATAGCTTTGATGTTTTCGCTACTTTGGTGTTTGCATGTTCATGTTATTACTCACATGGCTTAATAGAGTTATAAGATAACTTCAGTGACTATTAAATATAAATAATCTAATGTGCTATTATATTTCATGTTTTTTCATGTCTGATCCTAGTGGGTTACTTGCTCATGATTCACTGATACTAAACACTACATTTTTGCTTTTGTGGACTGTACCATCATGTAGATTCTTGTTAAATGCATAATAGATGTTATAACTTTTACTACTTCTACTAGTTGTCATATCCTCTTCACCTTTCAGGTTATGAACAGTATAAGTAGTGGAAACCAGAAATGTGCATACATTGAGCGTCCATGATCTTCTTTAATTTTACTCAGGTTCTATGCATATTCTTCCATTATAGGATTCAGATTTAGAGGCTGAAGATGATGGCGATAACAACAATGATGATGATATTCAGGCATCTTCTGGTTCAAATTCAGAGGAAGATGTAGATGTTCATGAAACAGACGGTAAATTTACTCCCAATTTGCAAATTTGTTGTAGGTTGTAATATTCTTATTTTCTGAGCAAGAAGTACTCTGCTTTTTGTATTAGATGCAACCTTCTCTGGTGAACGGTCTGTGATGCCAAAACCCTATATTATATATGTTGATAAAAATTAAGTATGTATAAGAAAATGGTATTTAACTGTAAATGTTATCCATCAATTGCTTACATATTTTAATGTCTCAGTTTATAGATTTCCCAGTGACTTCCCATTATCTAATTTTATCTCCCCCTTTTTTTGTGGCCTCATACTAGATGAGATGGGGAACATTGCAAAGTGGAAAGAATCTTTGGTAGAAAGGACTTCCTCAAGACAAACTATTAACCTTATGCAACTTGTATATGGGAAATCTACATCGATGCCAACAACATCTATCAATGAACATGATAGTAGTGCAGATGATGAAAGTGATGGAGATGATTTTTTTAAGCCAAAAGGAGAAGTAAACAAGGTTTGTTTGGACACTACTTGTTTATATCTCGCCGCAAGAGGCGCATTCTTTTTAACGTCAGAGGGATTTATGTTCCTTTCCAATCTGAAATAAATTATTGGGGTAACCTTCGTAACTGAAATGAGCGCTGTCATATTATCATTTTTGTTTGTTTATTGCAGAAACATGGAGGAATAGAAGGTGGAAATTGGAATATCGAGGACTGTTCCAAATTCACAAATTATTCAAATCTCAAAGACTGGAAAGAGGAAAAGCTTAGAGAGGGTATTCGTGATCGTTTTGTTACTGGTGATTGGTCGAAAGCTTCTCAAAGAAATCAAGCCGCAGAGGCTAAAGTTGAAGATGATGATGCTGTCTATGGTGACTTTGAAGATTTAGAAACTGGTGAGAAGCATGATGGGAATCATACAGATGACGCAAGCAATGATGCAAACCACAAGGAAGATGATTTGGCCAAAGAGGAGCGGAGGCTGAAAAAGCTTGCTCTTCGTGCAAAGTTTGATGCTCAATATCCTTTTCACTCGAATATTTTATTTATATACTTTTTCAAAGAATTACATATTGCTCTTCCACCATAACCAAGGAAGAATTTGTTGATTGTTTTTTCTTTCGAGTTTGGAATTGGATGAAGCCAGGATATGATCTTCATTTAAGGTTCTTGGTTGTATATTGCATTTGTCCATATATGACGTTCTAATAGTAGTTCTGTGTGTGAACATTTTTATTTTAGGTTTGGTCATATGTGCTCTTTTGTATTTGTAGAGAAATTCTGAAATTACTTTTGTGCCCTTAATTTGATCTACATTTGATGGAGCTGAGTCATCTGAAGAGGAGCTTGAGAGTAAACATGAAGGCAAGTCTGGTCGAGATCAATCCAAAGAAAGTGGCTATTTTGACAAGGTAAACTTTCTCGCATATATTTAAGATTGTTTTGCACCATACAAGGTAGTGAGAGCTCATGCCTAGTTCTTCCAGCTGAAGGATGAGATTGAACTTCGGAAGCAAATGAATATAGCTGAACTCAATGACCTGGATGACGCCACCCGATTAGAGATAGAGGGTTTCCGGACAGGGACTTACCTCCGGTTGGAGGTTCATGATGTCCCTTATGAGATGGTTGAATATTTTGACCCCTGTCATCCTATTTTGGTTGGAGGAATTGGTCTTGGTGAAGAAAATGTTGGACACATGCAGGTTAGTGTACATTATAAATATTCAATATTTAATTTTTTTTGTTTTTTGTTTTATACTAGCCTGCCCGTTGCATGTGTAAGATAGCTCCCATATTTTATGATATTGATTAGTCAGTGGGTGGTTGTATTTTAGTCAGGCCATTATGTTGTTCATAGAGTGGTTTTAGTAACTTAGACACCAAATAAAGTTATTGGGTGAAATAGAGTGACACCCTGTCAGGTGTTCACTTTATATAATAGATAGATGGATAGCAATGATATGCTATTATGTTATTAACCACTGGTGTTGCTAGCATTTATGTCATGAATGTAAAATTGCATTAAATAGACTAGGGTATATATTTACAAATTTAATAGACTTCTTTGCCATTTGAAATTTACTTCAAGTTAGCACTAATGCTCTTATCAGCTGGCTGGCTCCATAGATTTGGCAATTTTGTTTTGTTACATTAATTTTCACATTAAAAGCAAATGACTAGTCATTTACTCCACAGGTCCCAATTAATATATTTACAATATGATAAAGCTTGAAGTGAATGAAGGCTGCTTCTCTGATAGATGCTCATGGTCCCTTATGGGCCCAATTTTCTCATATATTTGAAGAATTTTCATCTCATCAGATGTTGTGTTCTGTCTATTTCAGGCCAGGTTAAAGCGGCATAGGTGGCACAAGAAAGTACTTAAGACTAGTGATCCTATTATTGTTTCTATTGGGTGGAGGCGGTACCAAACAATACCTGTTTATGCTATTGAAGATCGCAATGGAAGACATCGCATGCTTAAGTACACTCCCGAACACATGCATTGCCTTGCAATGTTTTGGGGCCCTCTTGCCCCTCCTAATACTGGTGTGGTTGCTTTCCAGAATTTATCAAACAATCAGGTTTGACAAGTTTCCTTCTTTTCTTTTATTTTTTTTCTTCTTTCTTTATGTTTCTTACATCTCTTCAAAAAATTTAGGATTTGCAAAGGGAAAGCTTTGAATTTTTTCCATTTAAGATTTATCTAATGAGGACTAAGTTGAGGATTAAACTTTAGGATCACATATGAGGCCCACCTTTCAATGTGGTGCCATGATTTGAACCATGCATTTTATGGGTTCTCTTCCAAAAATATTCCCTACAAAAAATATCCAAATCAAAAGATTGTTTAGTTATTTAATTGTGTGATCTAATATACGGAAAAACACAATGTTTCTGATCATGCAATGATAAATGATATTCAAATAGATTAATGATTTATGATATGGCTGATTTTTTTTTCAGATATGAGATTGAAAAGGAACGGTTTGAAACATGGAATATTTCTGTAAATATTCAGAATTCTAATATCTTTGTTGTCTAACTTGTGTTAGATCTGACTAACTCAGATCAATAGATTCTTACTGTATATTGGGACATAATGGCATGAAAATGACGTGCCCTCTATTTTTTAAATTTTGTCATGAATAGGGCTGCATCGGGCTTTAGCTTCTGAAGGAAGAAAAATGAGAGCTTTACACAGCTCACTAGGAGCTTAAATTCATTTTTGTCAGTGGCGTTGAGCTCCTGATGCTTATTTAAGAATTAAACATTAGCACCTTTCTCCTATGTGCATATTTTGCTAATGTGTAAAGAATTATTTTTAAATATTTGACCTTTGTACATCTGAGGGCCATTAAATAGCATAAGCATCCTATGCGCATTACCCTTATTCATGTGCTTAGGAGAAGGATGCAAGGTCAGTCTTTAGGAAATATGGAGCCCTGTGCAAAAATAAAAAATGTGGCTCTTTTAAACCTCTGCACAAAAATACCACAATTTTTATTGTCATGTTTTGGTATCATACTTTAACAAAACAATGAACAAGATAATTTAATGTAAAGGCAAAGGGTTAAAAGGAATCAAAGTTCAACTTAAAATTGACACACACACACAAAATGACCCAAAAAATGGCTAGCACGCCACAATTGCTGAGCACCTTGGCTTTCTTCCTAGTTCCATGCCCCAGAAAATTTCTGTTTTGTATGTCTCTTTATAAGGAATTTAATCGAGTTTTCTGCTCTTCATTGAGCTACAGTACATTTAGGTACATGATTTATTTATTTATTTTTGTTTTGAAAGCGACAATCAGTAGAAAAAAGATACGAAAAGAAGTCAGGAAGGGACACACATAATTTATCCTTGGTGTTCTGCTTAAGTGATGGTTATGCTAGTTTCTCTCTTGTAACATACAATTTTTAGTTAACCAGCCTAGACTTTGAAGTTGGAATGCATTGGTGTGTACAAACTACTTACCAACATCAGGTGGCTTTGAAAGTTTAGTTTGGATTTGATCCTTGTGATAACAATGTGTTTCATGTAAGTAGATTTTGTGGAGACCACTTTGTAGATCGATAATGTGTTTCCTTTTATTGCTTAAATTCTATATTGTGTGTGTGTTTTATTTATTTATTTATTTATATTTTGCTTAGTGGGTCTACTAGGCCTTTGGTAAATTAGTATATTTTAAGTGCCTATCCCCCTCTCGTTCTGCCATCTCAAAGAAAAAAGACTAGTCATTTAAAAAAAGACCATGTGCTTGTTTATATGTCCCTTTTCGTTTAACTTTGTCAAATTTTATGCTTATACCTTGTTCTTTGTTCCTAAGCTAGTTTCTTTGGTCTGGCAGGCACAATTTAGGATCACAGCAACAGCAGTTGTGCTTGAGTTCAACCATGCATCACGAATAGTGAAGAAACTCAAACTAGTTGGTCACCCCTGCAAGATATTCAAGAACACTGCACTTGTAAAAGATATGTTCACCTCAGATCTTGAAATAGCTCGGTTTGAAGGAGCTGCTGTTCGAACTGTCAGTGGCATTCGGGGGCAGGTGAAAAAGGTATGCTTGTTTGATGTTGAAATTATATATATATATATATATATATATATATATATGCGTGTGATTTTTTTTCTGTCCATGTGGATTTTGGCAGTCGAATATTCATTCTGGCAATTAAACTCAAATATATAAAAGCATGAATTAGCTGTCTTCTAACTGGAATGATTTTCATTTCATCTTTACTCATGAACTGGTGTTGTTACTGCGTTTTGCATACTATAGGTAGCGGAAACCTTACAGATGCCTTCACTGTAATTAATGTTCTGAGCATGGATAGGCATATTTCCTCATATGAACCTTGATGCTAATTTAATTGAATTTTAATAATTGTAATATTGACAGGCTGCAAAAGAAGAAATTGGTAACCAGCCGAAAAAGATGGGTGGACAACCAAAAGAAGGGATTGCTAGGTGCACCTTTGAGGATAAAATTAAGATGAGTGACATTGTGTTTTTGCGTGCTTGGACCCAAGTTGAAGTTCCTCAATTTTACAACCCATTGACAACATCACTGCAACCTCGTGATAAGACCTGGCAAGGGATGAAAACTACTGCTGAATTGAGGAGAGAACATAATATTCCTATTCCTGTTAACAAAGATTCACTTTACAAGGTAATCTATGATGTGTGGACCTCAAAGTGAGGCTGCTTACTGCAGCAGTACATGGTTTTTCTCTCAATTCTGCCCATGGAGCACTGCTTGTTTTCTTTCTTTAGTGTTTCTTGTTTTTCAATGGTACTTAATTTTATTTTTTATTTCATTTGTTTGTGTCAACAGCCAATTGAAAGGAAGCTGAAGAAGTTCAACCCATTGGTGATTCCTAAGTCATTGCAGGCTGCTTTGCCATTTGCATCAAAGCCTAAGGATATACCCAGTAGAGGAAGGCCACTTCTTGAAAATAGAAGAGCTGTTGTCATGGAGCCTCATGAACGGAAAGTTCATGCTCTTGTTCAACATCTTCGATTAATTAGAAATGAGAAGGTATGCACCTTAAGACAAATATTCTGTTTGAACACTTGTGCCAAATGCATGATTCATAGTTAAATTTGTTGGAAAGCCAAATTGGGTATGTAACACCAATACACAGTCACAACTTAGAGGAGTTTGTTTGAATAACCGCACTATTACCCTTTCCTGGACTTGCTTTAATGCTAGTGTTAGTGTATATGAATTTTAATATTCTATTTTGCTGATTTTTTTTATCTTTCCGTTTGATGGCTTCTATATTGCTGTTTTTTAAGATGGCTCATCCTATATCATACTCTTCATTTCACCAGGCTTTTAATTTATTTCTATTTTTACTTTTTGTAGAGAAAACTTGTAGGCCTAGTGTAGAGCGCATGCATTATGTTGGCTTTATACTAGAGCGCATATATAGCTGAAAGTATATATCTTTATTTTTGTTTTGAAGACTCATTTGTGCAGTTCTGTAACATTTTCCGATGGAAATTTTCCTATTATTATGGAAGTATTTTAACTTCACTTTGGCTTTTGCAGATAAAGAAGCGCAAGCTTAAGGATGATAAAAAAAGGAAAGAAATTGAAGTGCAGAAAGCCAAAGAAGAGCAGTTGTCGAAAAAGCGTCAGAGGGAAGAACGGCGGGAGAGATATCGGGAGCAAGACAAACTGAAGAAGAAAATCAGGAGAAATGCAGAGGACTGATGGATGCACAAATTTTTGCGAACTGTTTATGTGGCTTGGGGAAACTGGGTCATTGTGCTTGCCGAAAAGAAAGATAAGCGGTAGAGATACTCTAGGATTTGATACTATCTCAGAAGCATGACCCTGATTACGGTTCCGACAGCTCCATTTGAGATAAATCGACGTGTGAGAATTGTCAATGTGCAATTTTGTAGTCATACCCTTCAACATGCATCATATGTTTGCTCTTGGCTTCCGAGTAGGTGTATTTCTGGGTACATTGGAGGGATGAGACCATGAACTTAAAATGTCATTTTATATCAGTGTTCTAATTGCTACATTTATAGAAAGTTTTAATGCAATTAAATACAAAATTTAACACATGCTAAGAATATTTAATGCTAAAATGAAATTAATTTGGGCCTATTCAATTAAGATTCTAATGGATTTTAAAGTATTAAGAACTCTAGATTTTATTTGACTTTCATAAACTCCGCGTATACTTTGATTGAATTTTGTAAGAATTTTGACGAAGTTTGTTGGAATCTTGTCATAAAGTTTGATAGGTTTTTAAATTTCTATAAATTCAAAATGATTATTAGTTAAAATGCCTCTGGAAACTTGGATCAAATCTCACTTTGCATCCTTAAACTGAAAGTGACCCATATCCCTTGATCGTGGTTTCACATTTCACTTTGCCCCATGTCATTAACTCCATTGCTAACCTAGTAAAAATTGCTGACATGGTAGGGGTAATTTCATCTTTCTGTCCCATATGGCATAAAAACATTATAAAAAACATTAAAAAATCTTTTAAATTATTAAATTTTAAAAATTAATTTTTTTAAAAAAAAAAGACAAAAAAGAACCAGGAACCTTGTCTCCACCCATACTAGCCATCTCCACCTAGCCTTCACTTCAATGTCACTTCCACCTCTCCACCTTCCTACACCCCCACTGCGACCTTAGCCCACCTACCAGATCAACCCACTCCAACAATCCCTATCTCCCATCTCTCTCAGCCCACGAAACCCAGCTCATCCCCACAACTGCTCCCCTTGGACAAACCCCACCACCGCACAACCACCTACCTCCACCTAATCACCTCCAGTACATTCATCAACCAACCCTAAAACACCCACCCTAAACCACACAACTCCAAAAAGCCAACCTGCACCCAGCCACCTCCAACACATTCATCCTTACCGAGCCACCCCAATTGATTGTTGAAGAACATAAGTCCCACATCGGAAACTTGACTAAATAAAATACAATATATAATGAATGGTTCCACTACTAATATCATCGAGGCCTTTTGTGATAAAACCCTACACTCACTGGGCTTTGTAGGTGGTTAAGTTGGGGACAATATCGGTGTT